ACTATTAAACACTAATTGGTAATTTATATGTATATTACATTCTTTAAATCTTTCAATTATTTTCTACTTTTTGAACATGCCTGTGTGTCCTTTATTTTTTATATATTACAGAAATATTTTGTAGGAGGACAAGTACTAATTACCTCTCGTAGCAGCAAAGAGGGATTTTCTTGAACCCAGTGAAACGGCATTCTGTATTTAATAAAAATAAAATTCATACCTTATGGTAAGGAAAAAAATCTCTAAGACAACACACAGAGAACATGCATAACCTTAAAGCAAAGAGACAGCATGTAAGTTAAATTTACCACATCCCTATCCAATTGCAGAATGTATGTCACCACACAGAGATTTTAAATTTTTTAAAAAACATTTTCCGTATTTGTGAAACATGCAGATAATATTATTTCATTTGAGATCAGTGTTACTCTTGTAATTCGTAGGAACCAACTGAAGCCAGCATTTAAAAAACCCAGTGGCTGATCATACTAAAAACAATAATTACAAATCACTTCTCAAAGGTGATGGATGATTTTATACCTGGGGATGAGTTCTATTCATCTTCCTCCTGCTCACTGCAAAGCAACTAGGAGCTGTTTTGACAAGTCTTCCATCAGTGTTCAGACTTTGCTGCTAGGTATAGCAAGAGCTCCTTTGAAACTGCTTTACTTTATTAGGAGACCAAACTACTAAATGCATTCCTGAGGTGGGGTTACCTGGTTACCAAGGAGAAACAGACAAGGGTCATTCTAATCCCAGTCATACCTGATAAAGGTAGTCAATGTGAACACGTGAAACCAGATCAACTGTCTCTATGGCTAAGGACACAAATGATGATTAAGTAATTGCATCCTGACTCCTGGTGGATAGTTAAGACAGGTATCCCTGCCAATGGAAGTGAGACAGATATACGACTGACGAAGACTGTGTTTCAGATTCATAGGAAAGTGGCTGGCCATTTAATGTTCTTATCTTTAATTTTCTGGTAGAAATGCTACTCCCTTGAGTTTGTTTTCACTAACATGGATTAGAAACCATTGTGCTTTAAAAGGGACTACTACGATGACTAAAAATGGATTTCTGCCTTTTGTTCATATATATTGATTACAAGGTAAACAGCACAGCACATACAAGACTTTTAGCATCAGAATCCTACAAGTTAAAGCCCATGAAGACTCATGGGAACTTGTATAAGCAATTGGGAAATTTGCCCATAATACAACAGTAAAAACAATTGGCTTCTTCCACATTTAACTCAGCACTGGAGTGAATCTGCAACAGCTACATGGCTTGGGGATCGCAGTAACAAGGGGGGGGGAGGGTCACACTTCTTTTGGATGTGTAGCTTTGCTGGCGGAAGAGGGACGGATCTCACCTTTCTCCTTCCACACTGTACCGCCCCCAAACACACTCCATGTGCCTTTTTGTCTATGGGAGAAAACCCTTCCCAGGGGTCAGAAGGGACCAATGAGAGGAGGGGAACATCAGGAGAAATCCATATCAACCCGTACCTTTCTGCTCATCAGTTGCTGGGCTGCAGCTTGTGTTCTTAGGCAGTTGGTTCCCTTACTCGAATGCAATGACTTGGCGACAGTGATCCATGCAATGGTCACCTCAGGATTGGACTACTGTAATGCTCTCTACATGGGGCTGCCCTTGACCCAAATCCAGAAGCTACAGCTAGTGCAAAATCCTGCAACCGGGTTTCTGATGGGCCTCACTATATGGGAGCACATCCAGCACTGGCTGTCGATAGCATACCGAATTCACTTCAAGGTGCTGGTACTTACCTTTAAAGCCCTTTATGGTCAGGGGCCCACATACCTGAGGGAACGCCTTTCCCCACACGTTCCCCTGAGAGCACTGTGTTCAGGGTCACAAAATTGGCCTCCCAGGTCTTAAAAATGCCAGGCTGGCCACAACCAGGGCTAGGGCCTTCTCAGTTGTTGCTCCGTACTGATGAAATGAGCTCCCAGAAGAGATCAGGGCCCTCAGGACCTTTTACAGTTCCGTTGGGCCTACAAGATGGAGCTCTTCCACCAGGCCTTCAACTAGGAGCCGCCCCCACTATCACCACCAACTCTCTGCTGTGATAGCCGGCCTGTGTGAAGAACATCACACAAGTAACTGAAAAACTTATAAAGAGTATGCTGCCTTGCATAATTAGTGAAACCATTGACAGCACTTATTATTATTATTATTATTACTGAAACTGAATTGTTGTATGTGGATTTTAATGGATTTTAACTGCTATTTATATATTATGGAATTTGTTTTAATGAATGTATGCCACCCTAAGCCTGCTTTGCAGGGAGGGCAGGGTATAAGTTGAATAATTAATAATTAAATAAACTAGGTCCCACAGGGCACAGCTGTCTATATGTTTAATCTCTTTGTAAGCCGCCCTGAGCCCACTCAGCAGGGAGGGTGGGGTATAAATTGAATAAATAAATGAATAAAGTTATTCAGGAACTCTTTAGTTTCTCAACAGTTTTTTGCACTGCTTCCACAAGCATTTTTCCCCTTGTCCTCTTCTTCCATTGCTTTCTCAACTCCTAGCATGAGCTGTGCCATGTCGAATTCCACAATATCCATCACCTCTACTTTCATTGTCTCGTGTTTTAAGAGGTTAATTATGTTTCTATACTTTGTGGAAGATTTCACTAAACCACTTTTACTCTTAGGAACAAAGTCCTTAAAGTACTTCATAACTAAACTGAAAACAATCTGTCTTTTCACTGGGAAGTCATCATGTTTCCCCAAAAATGCAGTAATGAAAATGGAAAAACACAAACTGCATTCACAAAAATCAAAGAAATAGACTTTACTGACCAATTTTTTTAAAAAACTGACTTTTACTGATTTTACCGACCATTTTCCACCCCTGAATATACTACTGTGGGTCAGGCCTCAACCAGTCCAATTCTTACACACATCCCCAACACTGAAGTGCCCTCAATATTCTGTGGTTTTTGGACACACTGAGCATGTTGTCTTCTCATTAGGTCATGGTAGGGGTGGGGAATTTTACAAATTGACAGAGATATTTACTGATTTATCTAGGAAGGCTCCGGAGCATGCAAGCTCCTATTGTGCTTGTGGGTGGCCCCGCTTCACTGTCCTACAGATAGGCATGACATAACCTGCTAGATCTAATATGAGCAGAAATATTGATCTGGGTGCTATATATTCGTCGTCACACATTGCTAGGGTGATTGTTACGTAGGAATGCAACTTGGCTAACCAAATTTCACATTGGAGCCAAAATACTAAGTCTCATTTTTTAAAAAAAACAAACCTCTATGATTTGGTTCCACCCCTCATACCAACACAACATAGCTGGCGGATTAAAGTTCAGGGACTGTGAAGAGCAGTTTGAGATAAGTTTGTGGTTCTATATCAGAACTGAGAGCTACCTCGTAACACTGTTATATTAGAGATTTATACAGTAAAATGGACCGGGATGCTGTCCTGTGCAATCATAGGAAATAACAGTGAGTGTCTAGAAGTTATGGGATATTTTAATGTTAAAAGCAATCTGAATACTGGTATCGCCATACATATGGAAGAGTGTTTTTCACCTGATTGATCTGGATCCCAGCAAAGGGCAGCTTTCAGAGCTGTTTCTAAGATCACTCACAATGGAATATGATGATCTCAAAGTTAAGACTTGCTACACAGATTGTAAAGTCTTCATGTTATAAAACTGAGCAGCTAGTTCTTTGAGGCATGGATTTATTGAACAATGTTAAATAGATTCTTATTCAAGTTTGCCATAAAGAGCTACAAGTCTAGAAACAAGCACCACAATATCTTGATGAGCCCCTCCATTTTAACAACAGTCAATGTAACATAACTTCATGCTGTTAAGACATCTTAATTTCAGTCCATTTCACCTCCTGTGCACTTATAGTTAGGGAGTTTTCACAATTAAGCAGATATATCACACAAAATTAGAGTCAGAAATTAAATTAATCCTAACATAATGTATAGTTTAAAGTAAATATGGCTGAAATAATCACTGCATAGTATCTTTCACCCCTGCATGTTAAAAAAAACCAAGACCACAGAGATTGTGGAAGTTACCATGTAATAGTGAGACACAATTGACTGCAGAAGTTGCTTCAGAGCAGCTATTTCACAGGTTGAATCAGAGTACTGCCTGTTTCTCAGACTTTAGAAAACACAATGTAGAGCCCGGATAAGAAATTGGCAATAATTTGTTTGGATCCTATTACAGCTTTTTGGGAGCACTAATTTAAATAGAAAAGCCCACTTTCAAAATTAAATTATAAAAGTCAATTTTTACACTATACTTAGAGATTCTTCCAATATAACAACACTAACAGAAAATTCCATCTGATTTTTATTTTAGCGGTTTGCATCTAGACCATCATAAATTCTCCAGTTACAATTGCTTACCTCTTTTTTTTCATCTGACTTCAGAAGAGCAACAGAGCCACCCTAAGGAGAGTTACACCTTTCTCAGCCCCCTGAAGTAAATGGGCTTAGAGTAACTCTGCTTATGATGCCAGAGTTAATTACACAATCTTTCCTAATACAATTTTATTCCCTGCCAAAGAGCGAATTAACGTTTTAGAAGCACATGTGCATAATGCTGGGCACAAATTCTCTGTGCTTCCCATTAAGAACTATGTTTAAAAAGCAAACCAAGCTAATAGGAACTTGAAAGCTCTCATGGAAAGTACTGATTTACAGAATTGTATTCAATAAGACATTTGTTCACTCTTATAAAACTATTGAGGTATTCCAGTTAAGTTGTAAAAAGAACACATGACCTCAGTTTCAAGAAGTGTTGGTGAAGCCCTAACCTGGATAGCCCAGACAAGACTGATCTCATCAGATCTTGGAAGCTAAGCAGAGTTGACTGTGGTTAGTACTTGGATGGGAGACTTCCTTGGAATACAAAGTTGGGAGGACAAAGGCAGGCTTTGTTCAGCCACTTCTCTGAATATCCTCCAGGTGCCCATTAGGGGTCAATCACCAGAGGTCAACCAGTCTTCCAGGTGCAGACACACGCAAAATACAAAAAAAAAAAGTGTTGGTGAAGATAGCATCACACACACTACACACATTGTGGTCAATTTAGTACTAGAACACAGAGGTGGCCAATACTCTGTTTGCTTACAGTTTTGCTTCTGCTTAGGAACCAGTTTTCAGGAAGTGAAGTAATCACATTAAGATGTGAAAGCCAGCAAATCTAAGTGAGAAAATATGAAAAATAATATAACCTAATTTTAAATAACCACTTTGGGAGCTTGCTTCAAAGGAATACAATACAGAATTCCAACTGGACATACGTGGAATTTTATTAAAATTTTACTTCTGACCTATAGTACTGGTAGTTGACAAGGTGCAGAAAGAAACTGATTGTTCTCCATGGAACACAGGCTGTACCAGGCAGAAAGGTTTTTACAAGCAGCTCTACATGTTAGGTTCTATCCGTAGCTGAGAAGTCAACTTCCAGGCATCTTTGACCACCGAAGATTCCTTATATTTTTTTGAAATGGATTCCAAATATACATTCTGAAGGACTAACAGATGGCCATCATATGCAAATACCAGGACCTCACTGTACAGACAATATTTGTAATTTTTGGTAAGAAAAAAAGCTGCAAACAAGTGTGCATACACCACAAACCTACACCCACCATCTGAATTTTTTCATTAGTGGAAAATACACGGACAGTAGAGCCTCCACTGATTTGGTAACTTTATTTGCATCTGAAAGCTGAACTCCCCACCCTAGTCCTTATTTAGAAAAAGTCACCAGAGCTGACAGAAGTTGTAGAGTCAGACAACCAAATTAATTTTGAAAAGCTATTTATATTGCTGAGTGAGCCAGGTTAACTTTTGCTGGAAGGGGTCCTGCTTCCTGTTCATCAGTTTTGCCTTTAACCACCACAAGAGCAGAAGTTGGATATCGGTGCAGCTTCTGTTCATTCATGTATTCCAAGTCTCCATAGATACTCAGCTTCTAGAAAAACCAAACATCAGTGTGTAGGGCATTTCAGACAAAATACAATCATTTAGCTCACCCACCAGAATTCTTTCCTTTGTGCACAAATAAGTATTTAGGGAGTGAAAAAGCCAATTATTCTTAAGAGACAATAGTGACACTCAAAGCATACCTTACCCTTGAACACTAAACACCATTGCTTTTTCAAGGGTCATATATTGCTCCCCTGATTAGGATGTCCCAGGCTAGCCTGATCTCACCAGATTTTGGAAGCTAAGCAGGGCTGGCCCTGGTCACTACTTGGTTTTGGGGCCACCAAGGAAGCCCAGGGTTGCTACGCAGAAGCAAGCAATGGCAAACCACTTCTGAACGTCTCTTGCCTTGAAAACCCTATAGGGTTACCATGTGACGACAACACTTTCCACCACCAAGGTGCCTTCTGCTTTTGAGATACTTTGTACTATTTTATCCACATTTCTTGGAATGACTGAATCACAGCTTTAAGACAAATGCTGAATGTTTAAATATTGTATTTATAAAACAATATCTAGCATATTTAAAGAAGAACCCCTTAGCAAGCAGAAACTAGTGTACCAGGTGCCTTTCTTCTTTCCACTGCTAGCATTCACCCCCATGACATCCTGGTTACCTTTTGTTTTCTGGCATAATAACCCCTAAAATCTCAAATTTGCCTTCAGAAATCGTATCAGCTGGTGAGACAGTTAATGGTTACTCTAGAACTCTACTACAGAACAAGTGTACTCTAGAACTCTACTACAGAACAACTGATCAAAACCCAATATGTCTGTTCACAATATTGAACTGCCACTTATATGAACTAACAAGAGAATTGTTAGATGCACCTCACATGTCAAGAAGTACCCTCGTTCCCCTCCAAATACCCTCATGTTTCCAGGTATTAATGAGAATAATGCAGCAGAATGCTGGACGTTCAAAGTTACCTCAGATGGAACATATTGCTCCACAGCAGTAGTAACAGTCGCACAACAAATCCAGAGCAACACCAGTATAGAGAGGATAAGTGTAGTAGTTAATATCCAACCAGAATTTCTGAAATGTAAGAAAGAAGGATACTCAAAGTCAAGCTTAAGGCATATTTATTTCCTTTCATCCCAATGTCTGAAGTTGATCTACCCACGTAGTCCACCTTGAGAAATCTTAGATGCCACCCACAGTCAGCTAGCTCCTAAAAGCAAATAAAACTACTGCATTTGACAGGTCAGGATCTGGTTATTTATTGTCCCACTCATTTTTACCTAAAATGAAGCACTCAGTATTTCATTGTGAATACATTTTAATAGCACCAAAACAGTAAATGGCTCCTATAAATTAACGATGAGAAGAAAACACATTAAGTTTGACTGGCTGAGCAGCAAAGCCAGCTTAGCAGTTTTTCATACGCAAACCAATGCCAATCTCTTCAAATTAATAGCAGTTTTGCTCAAATTTGACTCCCCAGCTCTGCAATATTACAGCACATTTTGGCCTCAGAAGTAATGTTTAGCTTCAAGCGTGCAAGTGACTGTCAGTTTTAAAAGGACATGGGTGGAGCACTACAGTAAATTCTTCTATTCATGAAGGAAAGTAGATGCAACATAATCAGAAGCTTAACTTTAACAAGTTCTCTACACAGCTGCTATTAAACACAGGTTAGGACAGCCTCAGAGTGGTCACCGACTGAATTACATATGGGCAGAATCTCTCCCTTTTTAAGTCATTGCTTTGCATGCTCAAGATACATACACTGAAATACATTTGAAGAAGGTGTCACTTTCATCCTCTTCAAAAAATTCTGAATGTATCTGAGGCCCTCTTGGTTGTAGATCTGCTGAAAAGTTAAAGTGCAGCTTCACTGAACTCATCATAAAACCAGAGATGTACATGTATATTCAAACACTGTAAGCAAGATGGCCAACATCCACTGGGGTCACTACTGTCTAGCCAGCTATTTTTCTTCCAGGAGCTCCTTCTGTTGAGCACCACAAGCTGACAATGCCAAGTTTAAGTAGTGGCTTGTGGTTCAGTGGGATACACAGTTGGAGGAAAGCAGCAGCACAATCACTGCTTTTTAAAAACACTTGTTTGGACATATAGTGCCTTGCTGGGTTGAGGGTACAAGGACAACTATGCACATCAGCTGACAAGGTTTAGGTATCAGTCACAAAGTAAGGGACTTTGGACAGATTAAAATTTAAATTGGTGTGGTTTCCACATTCAAATAACCAGCCTACCCAACTGTACTCTGGACAGAGGCAGGTTAACTGGAATCATTATAGAAACTTTCCAATCATGTGTACTTACTGATGTGGAGTCACGCACAGTAGCAAAACAATTTTCCATTGCATACAAAGACTGATTTTCTGCTAACAAATTATGATTAGCAGGGGTCATTTCGTAGAAAAAGAGGTGCAGGAGCTCATTAGCATAACTTATTTGCATAATTTATTTGCATATGCCACACCCCCTGACATCACTGGAAGTGTGTCAGAAGGTAACACCCACTGCTCAGGCTCCACTGGACTGTTTTAGATTGCTAGCTATTTGGGGGGGGGGGGGATGGGCAGATCTGTCCTCACGGGGGAGGGGGGGCTGTGCCCTGAATAAACTTGT